AACACATTCGGGAACCCAGGCACTGCAGCCCCTGTGGCCCAGATAACCAAGGCTTTGGTCTTTTGTCAATCATTTGGTTCACAGTGAAGTCCCACATCTCTCAGAACACATCTTTTGGTGCATGGGCCACCAAATTCAGACACCTCAAAACGGCAGGTCAGCGGGGCTTGGTTCATGTTATCATCAGCTAAGGAAATACCGGCAAGGTTTAGATTCAGGTCTGGATTTTGTAGTCCAGAGCTCTTGCCTGCTGGTTTACTTCACAATCTCCTGATCAGCTTCCTTAAGCATCCACAGTATATGTGGATGTAAATAAAAATATGTATATATGTCTCTCTCTACAACAGCCCTTCTAGGAGCTGCAACCTCTGACAAAGACACATTTGGTTGAACTTTAAACAAGGGACATTTAGAAATCTCTAAAATTCAAACCATCAATGTGTAACAGCTTCTAGGACATTCCCTACCTTGTAACATTTAAAACAATGATTCATCTTCATAAGAAACATGTAACTGTCTGAAACTAACTCTCGAATACTGTTAATTATCTGCATGGTCTGTGTTTCAGCATATGCAGTTTCCAGCTACCAACACCGGACATTATGAAGGCTTTTACATGACATCAGCTTTCCAATGAGCAAATAAAACACATAATTTTTAATCTGCATTTAATTGCCACAGCTTAAAAATCACAGAATTTATGAGAGCTACAAATCATTTTTAGACTGTGCAGTGTGGACTAAAAGCCAAGGGTTTTGGTTTGGCTTGTTGATATTTCCTGAAAACATGAAACAATTCTGAAAGGACAGATTTCCTGGCTCTCAGCTAAAGGTCAGCAGTCACACAGGGACTGCTTGCTAAGTGCACCAAAAGGAAAGATTGGCACAACACTGCAGTATTATTAAAAAGTTATTTAAGTGAGGAAAAAGGGAGAAAAGAGAGAGACAGACAAGGATTAGACACTCAACAAGTGAGCTTTCACCAAGATTAGAAACACAGCCTTGTTCCTTGCTGCCTGTAGCCCCCCACTGCCACTCCAAGCATCATTTCTCTCTGCCAGCCGTGCAGCCCCAGCCCCTGCTGCCATCCCAGGCTGCACAGCCTCGGAACGTGACTGCTCTGACCAGCCATCACAAATCACCTCTCCAGCCTCTCCCACATGGTCCACAAGTTTTTTTTCCAGGCTCGTCTCTGCAACAGATTATGGAGGTACAAGTTTCATGGGGAAGGGCAGGAGTTCAAAAGTCTTATGACTTTGTGCAACACTGACATACAGTTGTGTGATGTGCAAAAAACCCTCATTTTCCCCAGAAGTCTCCCCCAAACCTGTGCAATGTCTATAACTTGCTCTCAGCACAATTCAAGAGCCCAAGCCCTGTTCTGGCTAGAGCCTGTTCTGCAGCCGGCAGAGGGGGCACAGGCAGCTTGCATCCATGTCCTGAACAATTCTTTGGACAAAGCTCCTTGTCAAAGTGTTTAACTTCACAATAACAGATACCAAAAATTTCCTGTCCACTGACCCGACACCAGTTTGAAAAGAAGCACATCCTGCAATTCATGTTGGGAACATTTTTAAAACAATATTTAGTATCAGTCTCAACAGAGACTGTCTCCCAGCTCCCTCGTAGACTCCCAATCTTGTTTTCATTTTTGTTGTTCCATTTTTCTTTTAAAGTATGGGGTATGTACAATTTTCCAGGCAAATAAGTGCCGACCAAAACCAACCAAGAAGCCTCCAGCAGGTCCCTGCTACAGACTGTGCTCCCAGGTAACTACACTGCCCCTCCCTGCCTGACCAAGAGCCCTGAGACGTCAGAATTAACACAGAATTTGTGCCTATAATGCTGCTAATGAAATACCACTACTCTGACCTCAACGTCCTCCCTAGCACTGACTTATCAAAAGCATATGCTCCCATCACTCATGGCCTCTGCTTCTGGTTCTTTCATTTCTTTTTTTAAATTAAAACCAATCAGCTGTAGAGCAAAATGCTACCTTTGCAGTTGAAAGGTTAAGATCAAGCTGATCACCACATGTGTAGCTTAAAATGGATGCCCCCAAATCCTGCTAACTACACTAATGTGAAACAAAACCCAAAATACACTACTAAGCAGCTAAGCAATACTGTAGCCTGTTAAACTTTAAATTTAGCCCTGGCAGATCCTGGAGGAAGGGCAGCCCAGAAGGCATGTGTCCTCTGCTGTGCAGAGAGAGCACTCAGCCTGCAGGATCCCACTCCACCTATCTCCCTTTTGAATAGATGGCCATACCTATCACATGCCATCTGTATTTCACACACATATTTTTGCTAAAAACACTTTGTATGAGGTAAAGGACACTCCTCTCTTGGCCACAAAGTGTTTGCTCCCAAAACAGTCAGTGAGATTGAAACAACAGACTAATTCCTTGCAATGGGACAACGCTGTAGCTCAGAGCAGAGGCACTCTGACGATTTAGGGCTTTACAGACCACAGCCTGCAAGGATGAATTATTCTCTAAAGCAAAATGTTGAACAGAGAACATTACTTCAGAGGCAGATTACTGTAGCCTTGCTATTTTCTATCTGGAGCTTCAGGGCAATTTACAAGTAGAGACTATTGCCCCGATCAGCAGAGAGATTACAGAAGCAAGATTTGCTGTGATGAATCCAAAAATAAGACAGCTCCAGGCCTAAAGTTCAATGTGCCACACCTGCTAGCACAGAGTATATGAATAATCTAATCTCCAGGTCACAAACACTATGAGAAAGGGTAGGACATCCCCATTCAATGGAGCCTCACCCCATCCTCTTAAGACCAAACAAAATCACTAACGTGAAGATAAGCTGTGCATTGATACCTCTGCAACCCCAAAACCTGTACTCTAAGCTGCTGCTAAGGAAATCCAGGAAACCCAGCCATCCACTGCCAGAAAGACTAGAAATCATCAATCTGACATTAAAAAAATCTTTGATTGAACAGCTCTAAACAGCACTACCTGCAAAAAGTCTTGTTAACTGTGAGATTAATAACATTTACTAGAAACTAGGAGGGTTTCTTCAGCATTGTTTAATGAGCTAAGGTGATTCCATTGCCCTATCACCAGAACTCCCTCAATTCTACACCATTTATGCAGTAGCTAAAAAAAAAAATAGTACTTCTACTTACAGGTAAAGTCATGCTTGAAACTGAGACACAATAAGATGATTTTTTTAATCATGTCTTGCATAAATTATAAACTCTATATTGATTGCAAGGATAGTCAGGCAAATTAAAAGGTGTAACGGGAGCAGGAGACATCTTCCTGGCCTTGAGGGCTCAAGTGAGGTTATTCCCGCTGCAAAACACCAATGATCTGTGCATCATGGTCTATTAAAATAACACTTCGCTTGTTGAACACTTACTTTGCTTGACTGTTAAAAGAAACTTGGGTATGCACCACTGAAATAAAGCTTTATTTTCATAAAATGCTGGGGAAGGAAAACAAAGGAATGATCTCACAGCCCTAACTCGCAGCTCAACACAAGCATCCCCCTTGGTTTTGCTTAGTATTGTTCTTATTTCTGTTATTACTCTTAATCCACCAAAACATCACACTCAGACTACACCAGTTCTTCACTAGGCAATTTCTGCTCATCAATATAATCCTTAAAGCTCCATCAAGTTTTGCACTCTCTTACATGACAGATGTAGAACTGTGTTCTATTGAGTGTCTGTGGCAAAAATAAAGAGCAGATATCCCAGCCAGTGCTGCAATAGGCAGAGGGAGAGGATGCCAAGGCTGGAGGATGTTCTGCGTTAACCCCTGCGAAGGTCTGGATTCCAGAGGTCAGTCAGTGAGCTGAGCAGAAGCTACATCAGGTCCCATTCAGACACCAGTCTGAGCAATCAGCATTGTAAGTCTCTTCTAAAAATCCTGATCATCACCTTTTAAAGCGGGTGAAAATCAATTAATTTTGAGCTTATAAAAGAATGCCTTTGCTCTGGTCAACCTTGGCCACACAGTCACAATGCCTTTTGCAGAGATGCACTGCCTTTTCTTTCTATTTAGTGTAAAAGCACTTCATCTTGGTTATCAGCTCCCTGAAGGTCAGGCTTATTTCTTTAGATCTATTATTTACTGCTTGAATTTCCAGTTCCACCTTTCTGGCTATTACAGCTTCTTTTCCCAACTCCTATTCTTTTCACGATAACTCCATGTGAGGACTGTTGATAAAGTTAGGAGAACCATGATTCTAAATGTCTGACCTTCTTCAAAATCTGATAATGGACACAGTTTCTGAATTATAGGTCATCTCAATTTTGCCAGTAAACCATTTATTTGCAGTGGCCTTCAGACCTCGAGGCTTACTGTGCACTGCAAAATGCATTCCTGAGGGAACAATAAGAGTAAGAGAGCCATCCTTAGCCTTTGCTTAGCACGTTAGGAGGGATACTACACTTTGGAGAGAATGTTTGTCCACAACATCTTATGCACCACAGTCTCCAAGACCTTCCCTGCTCTACAGCATTGCCTGATGTTTGTATGAAGCTGACAGTGATAAGCACCTAATGTGAACTAACCTCCTTTTCATTTGCAATCCACACGGAAAAGACAGGAAAAATCCATGTTTCCTTAAACTCTCACGACCTACTGAGACCTTTCCAGACACCTTCACCATACTGTCCAACTTACAGCCCAGGGTACAGTGCCAGGTTTTACATCAGTGCCTCAAATGTTACACTGCTGTTGTACGACCCGATCACACTGTGCTTGTAAAAGCTGTGTCGGTGCCAAGGTACACCTTCGCCTGCCAGCCTCCTTCAGTGGCTGCTCTGAAATGGAGTTCTCAAAATGGCCTGGTCTTACAAAAAAACACTGCCAAGAGGTACAACTCCTACTGAAGGTCAACACTTCGTGCAAACTGTTGAGCAAGACACAGAGAAAAGCGTGTCAAACGTGAACTCCTGACTCGAACAGCGCTTGGAAAACTAAGCAGTGACTGGATCCTGAGCGGGGGGAATCAAGCAGTTTTTACTTACTGTCAAAGCTCCTGTGCTGTGCTGTGAGTGTTGCCTGCACAGAGCGACCAGCCTCTTTCATCATGGCTTCAAATTCACTCCGGCTTTTGTTTGCAAAGTTCTCCTCCATCTCACTGGTGCAGCAGGTATAGCCTTGTGGGCAGATTCGCAGGTGCTCCCCTAAAATGAGAGAAAATGCAGTTTAATGGCCAAGTCTGGAACAGGAAGGATTTCACCCCAGAGAATCTCAGCTTAAAAATATCCCAGCTGCCTGGTAACCTGGATCTGCATCAGGCTTTTTTGTCAGATTTCCTCCCTTATTTGAGTTATCCTGCTTTAATATAGTGGTTGGTATCAAGGCAGGCACAAATTTTCTCACTGCTGGCTGTGAGGGAGGGAAAGCAAAGGAGAGAAAATTCATAAATGTGGCAAGGAGAAGGGAAATGTGTCTCCTGCTTAAAGTCTATCCTAGAATCCAGCTCCACCTAGAATCCCAGAAAACATGGAAGTCTGATTAAATGACATACTACCTGTCCCCATTAGACTTAGCATGTATATTAGAACAGCTGTTTGAAACTGCTTTGTCAAGAAAAAAATAAAAAACAACTCCAAAGTGCTCCCTGCCCTCCCAAATCTATCCTGGGAAGGCATTTTCCTAACCAGAGGTGAGACTAATGAGAAGTTTTCAAGAGACAGAGACATGCTGAATGCCAGGAATTTGGGTGACTAATTCCCCTCCACACAAATTGAAATTTTCAACGAAAAGTTTATCTTCCAGAGAGAGACAGAGAGAGACCACCCCAAAAAAGGTTGCTATGACAATCACTGTTTGAATATACCCTTTGCTATAAGGAAGGACAGAAAAGCTAAGAGGACTTGGCAGCCAAATTGAAAAATTCCCCAGTATGGAGCTCCTCCTGCCCTCTGCAATTTCTTTACTGTGGAGAAGCAAGCATTGGCATAGGCAGAGTCAGCAACATTGTAAAAATATTTGCTAAAATTCTTATGAGTCCTTACAAAGACACATCCACCTGCAAGCATACCCTACGTTTCTCCTTACCCAGCAACAGTAAGTCACTTGAATGAAATCAAACATTTATTTTTTTTAAAGAAAAAAATCCCCTTGTTCCAAGCATGCATTGGGATAAACCAATTACCAAGTAGTTACCATGCTTAATATAATTTGATTGGTACTGCCAATGATTTTGCTGGCACTCTTACAAGACTGCTGTCTTAATGTCATAGCTGAGCCTAAATATCTTTCAAATCATATTTTATCTTATGTGCCTGAAGAGCTTCAGATGCTGAAGTTTCCCATTAAAGTCCTTAGCTATTTCCCATGTAAATGGATGGTAAAGGGTCTCTGAAACTGGGCGTCCCACCCTTGTGAAAACCACGTCATCAGCAGCCTAGGAGCAATTTTGACAGGAGTGGTCTGTAGTTAATGTATTTTAGGCAGAAGCTGTTCAGGATGAGTTTGCATTTTGCTGGCCCTTGGATCCCTCATCAGAGACAAGCCCTGGAGCAACCTCTGCAGGGCACGGGGTGAGCCTACCCTTGGAGAACGGGTTATTGCGGGCATCTGCACTGCCAGAGCAGTCTTCCTGTCTAACATGACGGGAATTCACCAGCTTTTCAGGAGAAAAACTGCCATCATCAGCCTTGTGTTGTGCTTCCAGCTGAGAGGAGTGTCTGGGGGGGCAGTGCGTTCCATGGGTTGCCATCTCCCATGGGCCTCACTCCCTGTCCCCACACACCACTAGAGCAACAGTAAAAGCAGCAATTTGCTTCAGTATAAAAACTCAGATATAAGAGTCAAATATAAACATCATGTGGCTCAATGCCTGCCATACCAAATGCCAGTTCAGTTCTGGTGCTTGCCTAAGCCTCTCCTTCCCTCACGAACTAGATTGTTCTGAATCACTCCCTGGGCTCCTTTCTGTGAAGCTGCGTTTATCTCTGCAGCGTGAGGGCCACTGACGTGTGACAGACAGGCAGCAAAAGGGAGCTGTAATTTTTCGACAAGACAAGCCTTTGATTCCTGTCACAGCAAATTAAAAACTTTCTTCTTGTACAGCCTTTTCCATCCAATTTCTGCTGCCACAGGATTTCTGGCAAGGACAGGAGTTTTGTGGACAGCAGTTTTACTGTGGGATGCCCCCGTTCCATGAGGCCCTCAGTGCCCTCAGGAGAGAGAGAGGCCTTTTCAGTGCCTGGCCTCTTTGAAAAGCCAAGGAAAACAAGTAAATGGATCCCAAGGGATCCCAATGGTTCCCAAAAGTGCCTTTACCATCTCAGTCACTGGTGAATTTTGCTGCTGAGGTCCCATGCTATCGACAGAACCCAAGGGTGTGAGCACTCCTACTCCTCTGTGCGCCATTAGCCACCAGGGCTGATGCCTCAGACAGCCCTCTACATATATACTCTTTTGGGAAACTGAAACAAAGCAGTGGGAACCTGGAGAATCTCCCATCTCCTGGCCTGCAGACTGCAGGTCTCCTGCCTGAAACTGGGAGAGCAAACATGAACCTCCCCACAAAGGAGACACCGACACACTCATCAAAGCTGCCTGTCAGGCACGTTCCCTGCACAGGCTTTAGAAACCAAGGAAGGGGGAAAGTGTGGGTATTGCCCTCAGGAGGAGAGGACAGGGAGGAAGAGCCCTGTGCTGTGCCTGAGCTCCCTGACAGACACTGAGGAGCAGCAGCAGTGTGAGGCGTTAATTAAAATGTGACATGCCCAGACAGAACCCCCCGCACTCCCACCCCAGACAAGGCAGAGCGTGTTTCAGCAGGATGGCACCAGCCCAACACCTTGCTGTGTGAGCAGAGTCACCGCCAGCCAGCCAGCACTGCAGGACTGAGGGGAAAGGGGGCAGGGGAAAAAAGGGCAGAAAGCAAGGGAAAAGTCACATCTGTAGCTAAAATTGCTTAATTTTGCACAACGCTGTGAACTGAATATAAAATTTTTTCAACTGCTCAGAGCGGTTTCAGTCCCTTTTGAAGTAGCATTTATCTTCACTTTCTGCAGGTGTTTGCAAGGTACTCAGCAGGTGTTGGTGTGGTACTCAGCACCATTGCACTATCTCAGTGGGAAGCAAAGTTTTTATTATTTGTCTCTATAATTCCAACTCTGCACACACAGAACAGTCCTACAGCACTGTGAACACGCTTTGCTTTCTCTGCTTTTTAACCTGACCCATGCTGGAAACATTCACTATTATTATTTAACCTTTTTCTATTGACTCCAAAATAAATGCACTACAGACCATTTTTTTTTTCTCCTTATATTTCAAAGTCCTTTTGTTTGCCAACTAGCCATTAGACCATTGCTGAAGCTGCACTATAAATATCTCTGGGTTCCCTTGGAAGGAGACTCTGTGTAGATACCTGTGGAGAGTCAGAGGTGTTTTATGAGTAAATCTCCATGATACAGTGTGTGTTCTCTCTCTGCTGCTGTGTCACAGAAATTCTGCCTGTATACAGCTGGCCTGTTGTTCACCACTTGCTGGAGAAAGCTCATGCTCCCAGCTCCTGGAAGAGCTTTACAGAAAGCAAGTGGGCACAGCAGAAGCCAAACTGACAACAAAGTGATGGCTGCTGAAATCTCCTTGAAGATAATGGATACACTCCCAGCAACTCAGGCCAACTCTATGTCAGGCCCAAAGAGATTTACACCATCCCATGGGTCTGTAACTGAAAACCAACCATCTCTCCCCAGCCCTTGACTTGTAACCTCGCAGCTGAGCGGGTCTGGCAGTGGAACATGGAGGTGCACAAGGTGCACTTGATGGCTCAGCTAACACCAGCTGCCCTAAGCACTCTGGATTTAAGACACACTTGTAAGTAAAAGAAGGTGCACTTTGAGATGTTCGATTTCCCTTCCAAAAACTATTAACTTGCCCAAGCTTTGGACAGTCACAACGTGTGGTTCAACCTGGGTCTCCCTGAAAAAGCCAGCTCTCCTGCAAAGGCTGCTGAAGCTGGGGTGGGATGTAACCCACCGACTTCATGGTCCCTTGGACACAGAAACAGGGTAGAGCATGCATGAAAACAGCATCAAACAAATACCTTGTTTATGATTAACTGCCCTAGAGTGGAAAGGAATAGGCAGGAGGCTGATGACGACAAAATATCACACTCCCTGGCTACGGGCTTGGATTGTCCTTCAGATACCCTCTCAGCTGGCTGGGTTAGCAGATCATTTGGGCTATCAAATTCATTACTGCACTTGAGAGTGCTGAATATTAAATCACTTGACAACTTCCCACTTGGGGACGGAGCCAGGCTGCTTCGTAACAGGGTCCCTGCAGAGGGAATAGCCCTGCCTGCAGCCACCACTACCACGAGTTGGTGAGACAGGGCTCAAGCTCCCTGCTTCTTCCCCTGGGTGCTCTGACCTCACTGGCCTGGCCCACGCAGGCTCCCCTCAGCCCTGGGCCTGCCTGACATGGGCTGTGTGGTGGAACACACCAGAGCAGCAGGATCTCAGCTCACTGTGTTCAGAAAAGCTCTCCAGCTGTTCACTGCTCCTGCACTGCACCCCACCACGAGGCTCCGTAGCCTCGAAAACAAGACAGAAGGGCAGTCCCAGGGGTGTGAAATGCAATACCGAGAGAAGAATCCTAGGCTCCTTTAACCATGTAAATTTCTATCCCTCTCACAGGATGTTGGAGATTGAATTAATTACAATGTTTGCAGAAGGTTTGGGGTTATTTGGATGTGTCAGAGTATCTAAATGCAAATTATTACAAAATTACTCCCTCCCAGAGGTTAATTTATTTCAGGCTGTGATAAATCCATCATAGTTCTTCCCTCGTATTTGTAACCCTCCTCCCACTTACTCTCCAAACTGCTCCAACAACTCACCTCATGCTCCTAGCCTCAGTTCAGCCCCCTCCCAACCCCCATGCCAGGACAGCTCCAGCCCAAACTCCCTCTTCAAGGGTTTCTGGTTGGACATCTCTCAGGCATCAGGCTTGCTGAAGATGCCCCTGCCAGACATGGCAGGGACACCAGGACACAGCCCCTGGCCAGGTGCAGCCAATAAGCCTGAGAGCACCTGGCAGCCGAGAAGCTCCACTCCCCTCCTACTGTCCCTCGTAGGCACTATGGTCTGTTGGCCTCTCCCTCTTCACACCTAAATCTCATCCAGGCTAATGAGCATCACAGCTGGGAACT